AGAGATTCTTATGATAGAGAATGTCATGTTTCTTGTTTTGATTCTCAGTGTCAAGATTCTTTTAATTTATGCATGAATTCTCCTGATGCTTCTATTATGCCTTGTGATGATCCAAATATGCGTGTTAACCCCTTTCCCTCTTATGCTCATTGTGATAAGGTGTGTTCTAATGTTGATGATATGCATGTTAATGGTGATTGTGAACCTCAACCCAATAACATTGATGCCCAAATTCTTGCCCAAATGCAATATCTCACCCAACAAGTCGAAGAGCTTCAAGAGGAACAAAAGTTAATAGAAATGAGACTTGCCCAACTAATGAGTGCTAGGGATGTTGGAAATGGATGCGAGGCACCTCACTTGGAGTGTGAGAGTGCTTTTGAGGATAATATGGGCCAAGGGTGTAAAGGTGAGGGGAGATTTTCTTGTGATGAGAGGATTTTTGAGGATTTTGATCCTTTTCATTCCCCTTTTGAGCTTGAGCACTTTCCTTCCACTTATTTACCCCCTTTGATAATGCTTCATGGGAAAGAAATGAGTTTGAAATGAATTTGCATTCTTTCATGCATGGTGAAAAGAACACATAGAAAAACATGCAAATCAAGCTAGAAACCGAGCAAAAAGCATATTATTCAAAAATAAGGCCTAAAACCATAAACTAAGACAAAGATAACTAAAACAAGACTAAAAGGAATAGAAATAACAAAGAAACACCGAAATAAACCTAAAACTAAGGGAGAAAAACGCCCTAATATGTGTCATAAATGACACTTATCAGCTAAATGTTGAGCAAAATACATAAAATCGTATTGAAAGCAGTGAGCAAAAAAAAAATTTGCCCGTGAGCAACTCTCAATTTGCTCAAGAGATGGGCAAATTTGCTGATGAATAGTGCACGTGGGACCCATCCAGAATAGCCAACCAAAATCCGCCACATGTCCAAGCAAAATCAGAAAAAAAATAAAAAAGGACCAATAATTTGCTGACACTTGTCCCAGCAAAATCAGTAGAAAAAAATTAAAACAACCAACCACAAGCCGCCACGTGGCTGGCGAAAATTAAAAAAAAAAAATTAAGAGAACGCTGACTGGGCGCGTAAGGGGAACCGATCCCCTACCGCCACGCGTCCCAGTTAGGTTAAATAACCAATCAAATTTTTCTATCCGTTTTGCAACGGTTATTTTATTTAAAATGATTTTCGTGCTTTATAAAATTAAAAAAAAAAAAAATTACCAACGGTCATAAAATATTTTTCTCTATAAATAGACATCCATTTTCATATTTTTTTGGTATAATTTCCGAAAACACAAAAATCCTCTATAATTTGTAATTTTCCAATTCTTCCTAAATTAATATAATTGTTGTTAAAAGCCTAAATTCAGGTATGTAAAATTTTTTTCACCATAATAACAGTTAATTAATTTTTTTTTTTAATATATGTTGTAGAAATTAATTTGTTGTTTAAATATTGTTATTTTGAGCATAATTACATATGTAGAAAAAAAGCAATTTCATTATGTGGTTAATTATTTTGAAATATGTTGATGTAATGCAAATAATTTTCAAATGGATCCGAACAACCCAAATTTTCGTCAACATTTTTCTAATTTAAGTGATGATTTCCTAACCAATCCCCAATTTCAAATGTTCTTGCAAAGATTAGGAAATACGTCTTTGCATTCTCCTTCACAACATCAAACACCCACTGAATTCCCCAACGAAAACAATGATGACGAAGAACGTACACCTCCAACTTATCACGGGAGCAACTCCCAATTCGTTGACACTGAAGAGGAAAACGTACCAGAGATGCCTCAATACCCTCCCCAAGTTCCCACAATACAATCCAACCAGGTTGCTGCACAAGCATCTCATGTTTGGTCTGTTGCGGAAGATGAAGTTCTAATTGGGTTGTACCTACGAATAAGCGAAGATGCTATTGTAGGTACGAACCAAAAAGCATCTGACCTATGGCGCAATGTACACGCAGCATATCAAAGAGCTCAGGCGGAAAAGCCGAATATACTCCCGCCAAGGCAAATGAAGAGTTTGTCGTCACATTGGAGAAGGTTGGCAGCAGACACACTACAGTGGATTACTTGCTATGATGAAGCAGGTAGACTTCCGGAGGGAGGGAGTGGTTACAACGAAGCTGACCGCGTAAAAAGTGCATCAAAGTTGTTTCATCTTGCCACTGGTCACAATAATAGCTTTCCTCACGCAGTTGAAATGCTTAATCAAGATCCAGGGTGGAGGCCAAAGCTTAGATGGTCCTTGTCCAGAGAGGAAAGAAAGGTTGCTTGTGTTGAAGAGGAGCAAGGTAGTGCTGGTAGTGGGAAGAGGTCGAGAGATGAAATAGGGGATGAAACCCCTACGGATGGTTTTTCATCTGGAGGTATACGACGACCTGATGATGTGAGGAAATCAAAGGCTAAGCGTAATGGAAAAGCAATGGCGTCAGAAAGTGTTTCGTCTTACAATTGGAGAGCGAATGAAGGAATTCACTACAATTCGAGAAAGGGAGGCCATTCTGAAACAAGAGAGGATGCAAATGGAAAAGGAAAAAGAACAGAGGAAACGGGAGGAACTTCACATTCGTAAGATGAAAACCATGTTTAATATGCTGCAAACTCTGAAGAATTCGCCTACGCCACTTACTCTTCAAGAAGAGGCGTACAAGAATTATTTACTCCAAAAATTGAGCGGCATGAGCGATTGAGATAGGTGTTGTGTTGTGTTAGTTAAGTATGATGTTGTTGCTTTAGTTTTTTATTATCTAAGTTTTTTAACTAGTTTTTTATCATCTAAGTTTTTATTATCTAAGTATTAAGTATGATGTTATCATGTTATTTATATTAGTGAAGTTTTTTACTATCTAAGTTTTTTTATCAGTGAAATCGTGTTTATTACAACATTTTCTGTTTGACAATTAACAGTGAGTAGTCAGTTTTGTTGACATAATTGGACAAGTTTCATTGAGTAGTAACTGTTATTGACAGAATTGGACAAGAACCATTGAGTAGTCACACCAGTCTTGCAGCTTCTCATTGAATGTGCTTGTCAATTTGCATAGACTCCCAATTTTATGGTTGAAATTTGATTCTGTTAATTGGTATTCAACTCAAATTTGTAACCACATATTCATTTTATATTTTTGCTACATATAGTGAACATACCACCTATCCACAACAACACCCCTCAAAAAATTTTACATACCCAAATAATGTATTTCAGACCATCATTAAGCTCTAGCTCATCTTCTTCAAATAATGAAGAATATGATCAACTTGTTGATGAACTATTCACAATCCACTACCCAACAATGATAATTCCCCAAACAAAATCCCAACGTACAACGGAAAATGTACCTTACCGTGAAACTCCAAGATGGGATACGAATAGGAGAGATAGGGAAATGGGGCATGAGAGGCTGTATCATGATTATTTTTCTGATAATCCTGTCTACAGCAGCAACCAATTCAGACGAAGATTCCGAATGCAGCGACCTTTGTTCTGCCGTATAATGAACAAGGTCGTTGAAGGTGATGTTTACTTCCAGCAACGTAGGAATGCAGCTGGAAAGTTGGGGTTATCACCTATGCAAAAATGCACAGCCGCTATAAGAATGTTAGCTTATGGCTTGGCTGCAGACGCCGTGGATGAATATGTTCGCATAAGTCAATCAACCGCTCGTGTTGCCCTTAAACATTTTTGTGCCGGGGTCATTGATCAGTTTGGAGCCAAGTACCTAAGAAATCCCACAACTGATGATCTGTCACGAATCTTGCATCAAAATGAAATGCGTGGTTTTCCAGGCATGATAGGAGCATTGATTGCATGCACTGGGAATGGAAGAACTGTCCTACGGTTTGGAAAGCGCAGTACGCTGGCCGGAATAAGAAGGCAACCCTAATACTTGAAGCCGTTGCGGATCAAGATCTATGGATTTGGCATGCCTTCTTTGGTATCCCCGGATCTTGTAATGATCTGAATGTGCTGTACCATTCACCAGTATTTGATGATGTTCTGCACGGTTGAGCTCCGCCAATAAGTTTTACGGTTAATGGCCATGAATACAACATAGCTTATTACTTAGCCGACGACATTTACCCAAAATGGGCTACTTTCATTCAGGGTATTACGCATCCTCAAATTTAGAAGGACAAATTGTTTGCTCACCACCAAGCTGCTGCTCGGAAGGACGTTGAAAGAGCTTTCGGTGTTTTACAAGCTCGGTTTTCAATACTACGAAAACCGTCACTTTTGTATGATGAAGACATATTGGGTGACATAATGAAAGCATGTATCATTATGCACAACATGATTGTCGAAGATGAGCGCCACAACTAGACTCGAGTCGAAGTTCTAAGAAGCTACTACGAAGAAGATCGCCCACAGTTAACAACAACAACTACGTCTACAACAATAACCAATAACGAGCCGTTTGAATTCAACGTTGGCCGACCTCCAAACTTCGATTTCGACTCGTTTCTACAACGCAAGACTTCCCTACGTGATAGAGAAACTCATGTTTCTTTGAAAAGGGATTTAGTTGAACATATTTGGCTTAAATATGGCCCTACTAATCACTAAACAATTAAGATGTACTAAATAATTCCGGTAGAATTTCTATTTTTTGCTTTTTTTATTAATTTTCAGTACTTTGTCGTATTTTCCAATTTTTCGTTTTTTATTTAAATTTCTTGCTTACGGTAATTTAACAATGTATGATATTTGCAATGTAATCGAATTATTAAAAAGGTATTGTTTTTTTAAATATTTTAATTTAAGTATGAGATTTTAATTTTAAAATATTTCCGTTTTTTTAAAAAATAACAATTTTTGTAAATGTTCTAAATTTCGTATGTACGGCTTAAATTAAAAAAATATTCATAATATTTAGTCTACTTTTATTTTATTTGGAGTAGTATGGTTAAATTTAAAAACAAAATAATAAATTAATTATTGGTGTTCAGGAGAGAGAAAATAATAGCGGGGTATTGAAAAAGTAAGAGAGAGATTGGTGAGCAAGCATTTTTTTGCTCATTGGTGCGATAGTTATTGTGAAAAAACTTTACTCATGGGCAAAATGATATTTGTTGAGAGAGAAAGTAGGTGGAGAGAGAGAGAGAGTGAGCATATTGTTTTTTGCCCACTGCTATAAGTGGTCTAATAGGGCAAATACACCTAAACACTCATATTTTTTATTATTTTTTTTTTATAACACAGGGTTTAGGGTTTTAGAATATTCAGTCTAGCAAGAACTCCAGTAATCTGATCTCTGCATTTGCAATTCAACAATAATTCCCCTATTATCCGTCCATGTTTCGTTGCAGAGTTTTATGGCGGAGAAATCTCACTCTCAGCCGCAAAAATCCCACTTCTGCAGCACCATTTTGTGCGCATAACCCCATTTCAGTCGACATTTTGGAAAATGAGCATAATAGATTGTTCACACCGATTACAGTATCTCTATTTTCCAGTTTGATTGATCACAGGCTCAAAACCCACGATTTTGTTCGAAGTTACTGCTCTGGGAAGCCGAATTCAGGTGAATGGAGTGAGGAAATAGAGTATTTAGATGAGAAGGGAGGTGTTCTTTACACCGGTAAAGGCGTTCGTTCTGTCGAACCAGGTGTTGATGATCATGTAATGTCAGGTGGGGTTAAGAAACCATTTCTGAATGCTTCTGCAGTTGCAAAACTTGTGGAGATAGTGAGGAGGTGGAAATGGGGGCCTGAGATGGAAACCCAATTGGACAAACTTCAATTTGTTCCCAATATGACGCAGGTAATTCAAGCTATGAAGATAATCAATGATGGCGAAATGTCGGCTAGCTTGTTCCAATGGGCAAAGAGGCAACAATGGTATGTTCCAAATGATGAATGTTACTTGTTATTGTTGGATGAATTGAATAAAAGTAGAGATTATGATAAAATACAATTATTGTTTGATGAGATGATTCGCGATTATGTTGATAATGGTAAATCTTCTTTTAGTGCATATAATCGTGTGATTCAGTATTTAGCTAAGGCCGAAAAATTAGAAGTGTCATATTGTTGCTTTAAGAAGATTCAGGAAGCTGGTTGTAAGGTTGAGACACAAACTTATAATCATTTAATAACCTTATTTTTGAACAAGGGTTTGCCTTATAAGGCGGTTGAAGTGTATGAGGGTATGGAAGCAAGTGGATGTTCATTAGATAGCTCAACATATGAGTTAATGATACCTAGCTTGGCACGATCTGGTCGTCTAGATGCTGCTATTAAGCTTTTTCAAGAGATGAAGGAGAAAAAATTTCGTCCTAGCTTTTCTATATTTGCATCGTTTGTTGATTTGATGGGGAAGGCAGGGAGGCTGGATATGTCTATGAAGTTGTATATGGAAATGCAGGGCTTTGGATATAGGCCATCAGCCACTATGTTTGTTTCACTAATAGAGTCTTATGTCAAGGCTGGAAAATTAGAAGCAGCTCTTCGGCTTTGGGATGAAATGAAAAAAGCTGGTTTCAGGCCAAATTACGGACTTTATACGATGGTTGTTGAATCTCATGCAAAATCAGGAAAGCTTGAGACCGCAATGTCTGTTTTCCAGGACATGGAGAGAGCAGGGTTCCTGCCTACACCCTCTACCTACTCTTGCCTATTAGAAATGCATGCTGCCTCTGGACAAGTGGATCCTGCCATGAAGCTCTATAACTCAATGACAAATGCAGGTTTAAGACCGACACTCAGTACTTATACTGCACTTTTGACCCTTGTAGCCAGTAAGAAGCTGGTGGATGTGGCTGCTAAAATTTTGCTTGAAATGAAAGCCATGGGTTATCCTGCAGATGTTAGTGCCAGTGATGTTCTTATGGTCTATATTAAAGATGGTTCTGTAGATCTTGCATTAAGATGGCTTCGGTTCATGAGTTCATCTGGGATAAGGACTAATAATTTTATCATCCGACAGCTTTTTGAGTCCTGCATGAAAAATGGATTGTATGATTCTGCCAAACCTCTTCTTGAAACATACGTGAACTCAGCTGCAAAAGTTGATCTGATACTTTACACATCAATTCTAGCTCATCTTGTCAGATGTCAGGATGAGCAGAGTGAGAAGCATTTAATGTCCATTCTTAGTGCTACAAAGCATAAGGCACACGCCTTCATGTGCGGTCTTTTCACTGGCCCAGAACAAAGGAAACAACCAGTTTTACTTTTTGTTCGGGATTTTTTTCAAGGAATTGATTATGAACTAGAAGAAGGGGCAGCTAAGTACTTTGTTAACGTACTCCTCAATTATCTTGTTCTAATGGGACAGATAAATCGTGCACGTTGTGTTTGGAAGGTCTCCTATGAGAATAAACTTTTCCCAAAGGCAATTGTCTTTGATCAGCATATTGCTTGGTCCCTTGATGTCAGAAATTTATCGGTTGGAGCAGCACTCATTGCTGTCGTGCACACCCTTCATAGGTTTAGAAAACGCATGCTTTACTATGGCGTTGTACCCCGAAGGATCAAACTTGTTACTGGGCCAACTCTGAAGATTGTGATTGCCCAGATGTTGAGCTCAGTTGACTCTCCTTTTGAGGTTAGTAAAGTTGTTTTGAGAGCTCCAGGTGATTCTGTCCTGGAATGGTTTAAGAAACCTATAGTTCAAAAGTTCTTATTAAATGAGATTCCATCCCGAGCTGACATTCTCATGCACAAGTTGAATATATTATTCCCCAGTTCTGCACCTGAAATGCGATCTTTATCACCACCTAAACCTCTTCTGGAGGGAAGACGTCTTGAATAGTATGTACCTATTATCAATGAAATGTTGTGCTGTTTAATTTGTTCTTTAATTTAGGCATTAAAAAAAAAAAAGGTTAGTTTATAGACATAGAAATAGAAGTTTTTGGTTCTCCTGTATTGGTGTACTCATATATGTTAATTGGGAGGATGTCATTCTCCTGTTCCATGTAAATCCTGTTACCTTGTGGTTACTTTTGTTTGTCAATCTACATTTTTTTTCACACAAGGGAATTTTCTTAAAAAAGAGAAACTCTATTCTTAGTAGCATAAAAAGAAGAGATATTGCCCTTGTGAGGTGTGTCCATTAGTAGTTAAAAGATTGTTACTATTTAACCATCATCTATTAACAATTCAGCCTTATTATTTATCACATTATAATTTATTTATTTTTTTCGTAAAAAAAAAGAGGAATTAATGTGGGTGATCTGCTATTGATTATTTAACTTGTACTATTTCATTGAGTACAAATCACCACACCGTTAAAAAAGGTAAAGTCTTCATCCCATTCTTTCACTGTTTTAATTCGGTGCTCAATTAAGTGCGGATGTTGGTCATTGAGGTAGTATCACACAAATTACAACCTCAGAAAAGTTGGAAACAAAGAATTTTCAGGTTTTCTGGAGTTCAGGGGAATCCTTGCTGTGGGTGCTGCAACGTGACCAGATGTCGAGCTTACTGTGACAGTATGGTCATCGAGCTTACGTTGACATTATATTTATGTTGTGAGTCTTGTGACAGTCAAATCATCAACATCGTCGTGGTCACTGCCACGACCTAGTTTTGCCACTGTTGGCATTCTAGCATGTGATCTCATTGCCTCAATTGATGCAAAATCTTTTGTGTTCAGCATTTTCTGCAGATTTACCGTGACAAGGTTGTCATGTTGTGACAGTCAAATCGTCCACATTACTGTGGTCAGTTTTTGCCACTGTTAGCATTATAGCATGTGCATCTTATTGTCTCAATTGATGCAAAAATCTTTGTTGTTCAGCATTTTCTGCATATTGTGTTTGTTCTAATAGGTTTTGCTTATTGCTACACAATCTCTCTGATTGTATAATCTGGCACCTTCTCTTTTATAAGATACTGTTACTTGTATTAGGAGCCACATACTTTTTGGCTTAATTTTGACTCTATATTAAATTTACTATATATTCATGAATACTATCATAATATGTTGTTATGGAAGTACTTTATATTGTGATTGTATTGCTACAATTTTTATCAATATACTTTTAGCTGTATGGTCAAAATTCATTCTTGAAAGTTAGGTTCTTAAAATAAGAGGCTATTTTTGTTTTGTTCTTCTGATCGTTTTTGCTTTCTCAAGCCATGTTATGGAAGCATGATGTAAAAATGGTCTGATATCGCATTGTTTGGGGGGAAATTGTCACGCTTAATCCTGTTCTTAGTTTTCAAGAAAAGTAATTATCTATGTGGTACACATCATACCTTTCATGCATGGTTAGTTAATCTTATTAATGTCTTTTCTGTTGTCCCATTTATCTCCGACTGTTCTGTTGTTTCAAGCTGATTCTGCTGTGCTATTGATCGGCAATTTGTAAGTGATCATAACTTCTGGCAGCTTAACAGTTTATGATGAGACGAAAAGACTTGAAAGAAAAGCAAGATGGTATTTCTGAACTTTTTCTTTCCCTTTCTCATGGAATTTCTTATTCGGAATAGAATATAATGATTTATGTATGTGCTCATTATGGTATTATGGCTCGGACAGTCACGTCAACTTTCTTCATTTATGTTGGAATCTTCTCAAAATTCTGATGGAAATGTTGAATCATCAAAAATAAATAAATAAATCATACACTTTGTTCTGCACTTCTGGTGTTTTGACTGATAAAAACTGCAGCAACATGTTTATGGTTAATTATATAGAAGAGAAATAAGCAAATATTCAAGGATGGTACACCATAGGAAAGCTATGAGCTTTAGGACTTTTTTTTCCTTTTTTGGTACAAGCAATTTCGTGCCTATGAACAAGCTGATGAATTCTGTTTTGTTTCCAATTATTGCTATATGGACTTGTCCAATAAAAAAATAGCTGAGTTTATGTTAGGTTTTCAAGTAATTCAAGAATAAGAACTACTTTAACAATTGTGGGAACAAAACCTAACTATGTATAATTAATATCAAATTATACAACAATCCTAATACAAATCAATGTATTACAACCAAACACCAAAATATCAAAGTATTCCAGAAATTACAATGTAAACACTAGTGTGAAAGATAATAAACTTGCATCTACTCTAAGCCTTAGAAAACGAACATGAACATGATAAATACCGGTGGTCACTTGAGTCTCAATCCTTAATACACTGTCTTAGGCGTATGAATACTTTCCTAAAGAGTTTAATTTCCCCCACAACGGTGCTTGAGTTTGATCCGGAAATACTCTTTGAGATACAAAAGACAGCCAATCGTTCTTTGCACTAAGAATCGAATTGAAGATGAATAATTCACAAAAAAAAAACAAAAATCAAGAAGATTTCTCACAAAAGTTTGCAAGATTTTTGAGAGAAATTATGGAGAATTTCTTAGGGAGAGAATGAGAGAAAAATCTGTATCTTTTTCTTAACAAAAAAACCAAGCCTTTAAAGAGACTTAACTGTCAAAAAATTTGCGAAAAACAGATGGGCGCGGGCGCTCCAATAGTAGGGGACGCTCCTCTTCTGGAATCCCAACTTTCTGATTTTCCAGAAAGTTGACGCGATTTAGGCGCGGACCGCGCCTAATAGTGGCGCGGGCGCGCCACCTGGAGGAGCGGGCGCTCCTCCAAAGAATTGCCAGATTTCCAGAAACTCTTCACGGTTTAGGAGCGGTTTCATCGCGGGTCGCGCCTAGCTAGCGCGAGCGCGATCAATTAGTAGAGCACGCTCCACTCCGACTCTCTAAATATTCCAACAATCCTCCCCCATTTAGAGTGTCCCTTTAAACATTCTCCAATTCTATCATTTAGCCACATCTCATGCATCAATGTTAATGTCCCTTCGGATTGAATTAACACCTAGTACAACACACTTAACGATGATCATATCCCATGATTTCCATATGGATTGAATCACACGGATATATCCAACCATTCGAAGGTGAAGTACACATAAGATAAATCGAATCATTCATCACTTGACACTTTTAAATAGCCATGTGTTCGTATCTTTCATAAGTTCATCAAAGTCTATATGTCCATCTAGACTTTTTGAAGCGGCTAAACTTCGAACTTATATAGGTAGGCTCTCATATACGTAAATGTGCCCTTGTGACAAGACACTTACATTTAGAGCTTCTCAACTCTAAACCTTTGAGAACTTTTAAATGACACTACCTTACACATCACAAGTACCATAGCAATATGGGTCATCAAATATTGCTAACAAACATAAAAAATGCAATTCAACCACATTGAATCTAAGACTTGATGTTTCTTCAAGCGTTAGATTGGGTTTCACAAATTTGTGTTTTTGGACATAACCCCATTCCACTCATAGCAAATATGATGGAATGTCTTGGCATTGCCTTTGTAAAGCAATCCGCCAAATTCAGATTTGTTGGAACATAGTCAAGACTTATGACCCCATCATGGATAAGCTCTTTCACTAGGCTATGCCTTAGTGAAATATGCCGAGACTTACCATTATACACTTGACTATAAGCCTTTATCAATGCCGAATTGCAATCACGATGGATTGCCACCGGTGGCATTGGCTTTGGCAATAAAGGCAACTCTATCATGAGATTCCTCAACCACTCAGCCTCTTTACTAGCTGAAGCAAGAGCTATAAACTCTGCTGCCATAGTGGAATCCGCAATGCAAGTTTGTTTCTTAGAAGACCATGAAATGGCACCTCCCCCAAACATGAATACCCAACCACTTACAGAAGAGTCATCTTCTTTGTAAGTGATCCAACTTGCATCCGAAAAACCTTCCAAAACCAAAGGAAAACCACTATAAGTTAGACCATAGTCTAACGTACCCTTAAGGTACCTCAAAACCCTCCTAACTGCAAACCAATGCTGTGCTCCCGGGTTACTAGTAAATCTACTTAGTTTTCCCACAGCTAATGCAATATCCAGTCTTGTACTAGTCATGGCATACATCAAGGATCCAATTATCCTTGAATATTCCAATTGGGAAATTGTTTTCCCCGAATTCTTAACCAATTTGACATTAGGTTCCATGGGGGTGTTCACGGGACACTTATCAAACATGTTAAACCGTTTGATCATTTTCTCAATGTAATGAGATTGACTTAAAATAAGTCTTCCATTGTCCCGAATTATCTTGATGCCCAAAATGTCATCTGCCTCCCCCAAATCCTTCATCTGAAAAGATGAGGATAAGAATTCCTTGGTCAATTCTACTTGTTGTAGACTTGTACCAAAGATAAGCATATCATCAACATATAGACAAATGATGACACCATGACCATTGTCATCAAATTTGCTATATATACACTTATCAGCTTGATTCACCTTGAATCCAAAGTACAAAATCGTGTCATCAAACTTCCGATGCCACTGCTTTGGTGCTTGTTTAAGTCCATACAATGACTTAAACAATTTACACACCTTAGTTTCTTGTCTTTCCAAAACAAACCCTTCGGGTTGTTTCATGTACACTTCTTCCTCTAGATCTCCATAAAGGAATGTCGTTTGACATCCATTTGACGAATCACTAGATTATATACCGAAGCCATTGCAATAAACAACCTTATCGAGGTTATTCTTGCAACCGGTGCATAGGTGTCAAAATAATCAACACCATGCTTTTGCCTAAAGCCTTGGATAACCAATCTGGCTTTAAATTTCACTATGGAGCCATCCGGTCTCCTTTTCCTAGTGAAAATCCACTTGCAACCAAGAGGTTTGCAACCGGGAGGTAAATCCTCTAAGACCCAAGTGTTATTTCCCATGATAGAATCCATCTCATCATTTATAGCCTCTTTCCAAAAAGCACTATCTTGGGAAGAAATTGCTTCACTATAAGTCTTTGGGTCACTATCCACATTGAAACAATATGGAGTAGTAGAACTAAGGGTATCCCGAGAACCTTCAACTAGGTAGATTATAAAATCATCACCATAGTTCTTAGGTCTCCTTTCCCTAGTACTTCTCCTAACTTGAGGAGTTTCAACATTCTCTTCATCGAATGTTTCTTCATGAGGAGGATCAAGTTGTACATCCAAATCTACTCTCTCCTTATCATTG